CCTTTTAAAGACCACTTAAATGAAAATTAAAACCAACGTCACACCCAATATGTGGGCGAAAAACACCAGGTCTAATTCTAATAATGACCAAACAACTACTGAACTATATTTAGAATCTAAGGCTACGCTTATATGATGAGGGTCCTAACAAGACACAAAAGTGGTGCAGCATCTTCACTTTTTATCCTGCGTTTAGACGAGTGTTTTCGGGAGGAAATCTGTGTGCATACGGTGACGCAAAAGTGTGTAGAATTGGATTGTGTTTGCATGTCAGGCGGCTCGGTGGTGACGCTCGGTGGTGACGTATGTGACGTGAACTCGTACACAACGTGAGCAGAACTGACCAGAGTTTTGCGTCTTGGGCAGTGTAGACGGAACTGATTGTTTACCGTATTTTTCGGGCTATTAGAAGCGCTCTTAAGCCTCCAACCAGATAAAAAATGACTGCGCCCTATACACAAATCCACTTAGGTGTCCCAGCACGACTTCAGTAAACTACAAAGCCGCACCACCCGCAGAACACACAAACACACACGGAGCAGACAGCGACCGCACGGCGAAACACACTCACAGACACACTCATCACTCCACGCCGACGAGGAACGGAACGGAGGAACGAACCGAAAAAGCGAGTGCGATGTGCCGCTTCTAGACACGACTGAACAACTGAGTCACTGCGAACACGCCGACAATCCGTTGGTCCCAGACACACCCTCCCTACACGCCACAACTGAACAAAGCCCAGAGTCACCGTGAACGAACAAACAAACAAAACCACTCACCATCACACTGTTGGGTTTCCTTTAAAGTCCCACGCGGTTTATTTGTGAAAAAAGTAAAAAAATAGACCATTTAATGACAGGGCGCCTTAATCCGCACCTAATAATGTGGAAAATACGGTACTCATTGCTGCCGGCGCTAAAAGACAAAGTTTGCACAGACTCCAAATTCAATGTTCATTCTCATTATGTTATTTCACGTTGTTGTATTTTTTTGTCTCCCACCGTTTAACATCACACTGCAGCCTGGTTGAGAAAACAAAAAAATAGCCTAATGAAATATAAGACCTTTGTGGAAAAAAATAAGACTTGGACAACATAATTTAAGACTTTTTAAGGCCTTCTTCACGGCTGCCCTGTAAAAGTTCATGCTGGAACGGTTAGTGCTGCTCTTTACTTTCTGAAAAGTTTTGTTTACAAGGAATACATTTTTTAAATATTATTTCCTACGTTTCCTGCTTATTTGAGAATATTTTTATTTAACTTATTAGTTTTCCCAAGCAGCACTTTGTATTTATTTTATTTTCCTGTTTGTATAAAGTTAAAACTAATTGTTGGTTTAATAAACACTAGGGGTGTAACAATATCAAAGTCTCACAATACGATATTGTCAGAGTATGAACCTCACGGTACGATATTTATTTTCGATATTGTGGGAAAGTTCACGATATGATGGGGAGGCTCACGATTAGGGATGTAACGATATCCAAATCTCTCTGTACGATATTTTCACAATATACATCTCACGATATTTATTATGATATTTTGTGGAAGCTGCGAACAAAACTGAATAATATGTGACTTTTTCCTCTTAAAAAGCCTTGACGAGACTTAATCCAAAGAACTAAGACTTAAAAGTGTTACAACTGTTATTTCTTCTTGTAGTGTACACCGAAATGGAGCAAAGGATCATGGTCTATGTAGTTCCTATATTTTTTTTAAGCTTTTGCTGCACCTGAACTCTTCATATAAGCAAAGAGTCTTGTAATTTGATATATTGTGATTGTTACATCCCTTATAAACACACAAATAAACAACAAGCAAACAGTTTTACATTTTGTTCTCATTCTGTATCGAAAATGAACCGAACCGTGACTTCAAAACCGAGACATGTACCGAGCCGTGACTTTAGTGTTACACCCTTAAGTGTTTACATGATTTTTATAGTTTCCACTGGTTTATTCCACACTGACTTTACAGAAGCAGTAGTTTAGAAGTGTTTTTGGTTCTTAAAAATAGTCCTGTATCGCAGAATATCTCATGCGCACTTTACTGATTTTCACGTGTATCGTCGTATCGTGATAGTATCGTATCGTGAGCGAGTAGTACAAGGAAGATTCTGGTCGTAGTAGAGTCTTGAGTCCACCTAAATCCTTCTAAGATCCAGCGAGCTCGAAGAAGATTCACGACGACCAACTTTACCAAAACAAACGCACGGCTCTCCCCATTTCCCCATCCGCCCTGCGCCGCCACCACTTCCTCCTGCTGCTCGTTTGTGTGCTCAGAGTGAGTCCGAAACGCTAAAAAAAACCACACCGTGCATACGTGGATTACCTGAGCCGGAGCGTTTATACACCAGGGCACGAAACCCGCCGTGTGCCATGCAAATGTGCGGCTCTGGAGCGACGGGACGATGCAAAGTTTGGGCGCCGGGGCTGAACGGAGCAGCGGGCAGCGGGCGAGCACTTTGCCTATTCAAACGAGCAGCGAGCCCTGGACCGTCGCCACCTCAGACACCGGGCAACAGAGAAACTATAAAACTGAAGCTACTTTATGATACTGATGTAATAAAAAATAATGCAGGATCATCACAGAGAATCAGTTTTAAATAGACAGAGTCACTAAAAGGCCTGAGCAGAATGTGCCAATAATTATCCACAGAAGTGAATTATTCAACATTTTACAACCTAAATGTGATTTTACTACAACAAAAACACAACAAATCCCCAAAACTTTCACAAAGACACTGTACAAGTGATGAACACTGAACCCAAAATACTGCCCCAGGTTTCATTTAATTGTCTGTTGTCCAACTCCTGTCCACAGTCTGGGGTCGAGGTGTGTGTGTGTGTGTTGTGTGTGTGTGTGTGTTGTGTGTGTCTGTGTGTGTGTGTGTTGTGTCACCTCCCCTCACATCTGTACGTGTGAAAATGACCATATCAGTCACCAAATCCTGTAATCCCAGAGGGCCATCCACAGGCCGGATTAAAAAGTTAATACTATTATCCAACATTTATCACAGCAGATTAAAAATAACTCATACAACTGACAACAGAGGCTTTATTTAGAGCACAGCCCGTCACACACATGTGGAGCCGCGCGTTAACGCGACTGGGACGAGAATCTGAGACACAAACCGGAGTTTAACCACACGGACAATGTTTGCGGGAATCGGACCTCCCCTCCCCACCCCCGGACCTCCCCGCACAGCCCCGCACGCACAGCCCCGCACAGCCCCGCACAGCCCCGCTCCTCCCCGGACAGTTTGTGTAATGAAACGGCTCAGCGGCTCCCGGGAGAGCCGGGCCGTGTCTGGGCCTCTCCGTAACTACAGTCACACCGGTTTATTTAAGCGGCTCCGGTCACAGAGGAGCAGCAGCAGCGGCTCCTCCGCGGCTCCGCATCTGTCTCCCGCACAGAGGAAAAGCCTCACACAGAAGCTTCAAACGCCATCTTGTTCTGTGCAGCTGCTACGGCCCCGGATACAGGAACTCATTCATTCATGGAGCCGCGGCTCAATCACTCCGCGGCTCTAATCACGAATTAAAAATAAGAGTTTACAGAGCGACATTACTCCACCCCCACACCGCCTCCTGCCCCGGCTCTGCCCGCTCTGTCCCGGGTCGGAGCGGCTCTGGAGCGGACACACGCGCTGCTCACACGCGCTGGAGCTCGGGCCGTGGCCAAGCCCACTGCACACAGCCCACTGCACACAGCCCACTGCACACAGCCCACTGCACACAGCCCACTGCACACAGCCCACTGCACACACACCCACTGCACACAGCCCACTGCACACACACCACACTGCACACAGCCCACTGCACACACACCACACTGCACACACACCACACACCCACTGCACACACACACAGCTCACTGCACACACACCAGCCCCGGCAAACAGCCCCCTCCGGACTAAACTCTACTGTGAACCCCGGGTCTGTGCGGGTTTGTACCGCGGCTGCAGAGCGCACGAGAGCACGAGAGCCCTGTGTGCCCGGATGCGCGCGTGGCCGCGAGCCCAGCCCCGGTGCACATAACCAGATAAACCCAAATCCCATTACCGAGGCCCGGACACTTAAACTCAGACTGCACCGGCCCCGAGCTCCGGCTCTGACCACACTGCACCGGCCTGACCCGAGGCACCGCGCTGACCCGGGTCAGACTCGGTGGGTCCGGACCCTCCGTGCACAGAGAGCAGCAGCAGCAGCAGGAGGAGGATGCTGCTCTGCTCGGCTGTTGCTGCTGTTGCTGCTGCGGTCTGCGCTTCATCAAACTCTTGTTTTTTTACAGCTGCTGCGCACGTGACGGGCTCTGAAAGCGCACGGGCGCTTCCGTCTCGTGCGTCCATTTGCATCACAGACTCTGGCCTTTATCTGTGTCCCTGAGCCGCGGCCCGGGGCCTCAGGTGAGTCTGCGGCCAAACAAGGCCTCAGAGCGGGGCGCTGCTGACCCACTGACCCCCGACCCGCTCCACAGAACCCCGAACACCAGAGTCAGGTCCCCCCCGAACCCTGCGCACGTCCGCCCGGTCCCGCCGCCGCTACGGCCGCTGTCCGTGCGCTCGGCTCCTCCGGGGCCGGTGGAGTTTATCACGGAGCTCACGGGCTCTAGGGCCACGTCGTCAGTTGCATTAATCATTGTTTTGTGCTAAAGTCGCACGGGGGGACACGGGGGGACAAACATAGACACGGGGGACCCGGAGCCAGCGGGGCCACAGCGGAGTGTGTCCGGACAGGGGCCTGTGAGCGCCGCCTCTGCCGGAGTTACACCCAGACATTAGGCCTCGTCCAGGCCGGAACATGAACACAAATGATTTTATAAACGCTGCGCTCGCTTTTTATCAGTGAAACAGACACAAACAGAAGAGTTTGTGCCCAGACCCCCGCGCCCGCCCGCTCCCCGGGACACGGAGCTCTGCTGAAGCTAACGGCGGCTAAAGATCCAGGTTTAACCCTTTGGTTGTTCTGCTCCACAAACACTGAAGTTTGGCCTTACCCGCGTTCAGTCGGTGGCCTCCGTGCTTCTCTCACATTGACTGTGCGCGGGGTCCGATCGCCTCGTCTCCGTCTGGGGGCTCAGATTTGGTGAATTTTGTCCGACCCGAGGAGCGGCAACTCCCCGCACCCAGTTTTTGACCCGCCGAGGGGGGGAGACACACCGGCTCAGAGACTGGGCGCTGTCCTCCACAAACACACGCCGGAGTCCCGTGCAAACGCTCAGACGGAGAAAAACACTAAATCCGACAAAAGTCTAAATCCCTTTGGGTCGTTCCCACCGTCGCGAGCCGTCCCCCGGTGCGGTCCTTCTGTCCGGTCCTTGTGTCCAGCTCAGCGGCGTCTTCCTGCGGCCATCGAGCCTCAGCGGAGGAACAGCGGAGATGGGCGCGGTGCGGGGGCGCCAGATCTCACGAGAGAAGCACGTAAACAAGCACGCAAACAGGCCCCGCGAACAGCCACCCGGAGCCACCCCCGTGAACACGAGCCCCAAATAAAACCAAAACCCTCAACATTACAAACTGTGTTTTTATATTTCAGTCAGTTTTGTGACGTTCGTCTGTGTCACCAGAAGTATTTGTGGGCAATATTTGTATTCGAGCTGGACTTTTTAGTAGTGACTAGATTTTCAAAATAAAAAAACTGGGGCATCCCTGGTTTGTGGTTAGTAATAATAAAACTGTGAAACGAGTGAGTAATTAAGCAAAACTGTTCTTCACTCAGCACGAATGTGAGTCAGTAGAGTCACATTTTCTTTGTGTTTTTGTCATTTTTAAGCAGATTTTCTATATTTTACCCAAACAAATGTCAATTTAAGCCTCTCTTTAGTGTTAGAAGGGATCAAATTGGTCAAAAATAAGAACAACCGGGATATTTCATGAATAAAATTGAGACAAATCAGTGGTTTTGGATAAATCTGCTGGAACGGGGGGAACAGAAGTCAAAACTGGGATTGTCCAAGATAAATCACCCTAATCCTGACACATATTTTGATGTTTATAATACAGAAAATTTGCCTTAATCTCGCCCCATTTACACCATTAGAGGCGTTACACTTGGTGATTAGGCTCTAGGGTGAACTGGCATCACAAAAACCAAACAAATTAAACACTAAAATACACTCTCTTTTATGAAATGCAACTACGAACAGAAAAAAAGCCCCAAAACGGAACCCCTGACTTCCAAACTCCGTAAGTAAATTCCCCCCAAAGAAGCTCAGAGTGGGTAAATCTGAGCGGACTTGGCAACCCTGGCGCGGTAACCCTGCGAACAGCGCCGGGAAACCCCACGTCGAGGCAGCGTCACGACGCACGGCGACGGCGACGGCTTCGGCGGCGGGGTCCGGGACCACAGCGCGAGCAGGAAACACTCACACACAACTGCCATCTTTACCACACTTTACTGCACAAATGTGACCAAAAACAACGAGAAGAACCCGCTTTTGGACGTCCTAAAGTCCCGCTCAAGTCCTGGTTTAGTCCAAGTTTAGTCCAAGTTTAGAACTGGTTCGTTAAGTCCTTGTTTAGACTTGGTTTAGTCTTAGGGAGACGAGGAACAGTCCCAGTGTTGAGCCTGTGTCCCCTGTCCCAACAAATGTACACCAAAACACTGATTTGTCTCAATTTTATACAAAAAATGTCCCAGGTTTTCCTATTTTTGACCAATTCGATCCCTGCTAACAGTAAAGAGAGACATAAACTGACATTTGTTGAGGTAAAATGCAGAAAATCTGCGTTAAAATGACCAAAACACAAAGAAAAAGTGACTATACTGACTCACATTAGTCCTCTTTTCACAATTTTATTATTACTAACCAAGTCAAACCAGGGATGTCCCAGTTTTTTAGTGTCCCCTGTCCCAGCAGATTTATCAAAAAACACTGATTTGTCCCAGTTTTATACAAGAAATGTCCCAGGTGTCTCTATTTTAGACTAATCTGAGCCCTGCCAACAGTAAAGAGAGGGATAAATTGTAATTTGTTGAGGTAAAATACAAAAAAATCTGCTTAAAACCGACCAAAACATTAAAAAAATGTGACTACACTGACTCACATTAGTCCCAAGTCCATAACGATTTTTATTAATTACACACTTGCTTCACAATTTTATTACCAACCAACTCAAACCAGAGCTGTCCCGGCAGATTTATCAAAAAACTAGTGATTTGTCCCAGTTTTATGCAGGAAATATCCCAGGTGTCTCTATTTTTGACCAATCTGATCCCAGCCAACAGTAAAAAGAGACATAAACTCACATTTGTTTTGGTAAAATACAAAAAATCTGCATAAAAATGACCAAAACACAAAGAAAAAGTGACTATACTGACTCACATTAGTCCCAAGTGTATAACAGTTTTTCTTAATTACACACTTGCTTCACAATTTTATTACTAACCAACTCAAACCAGGGATGTCCCAGTTTTTTAGTGTCTCCTGTCCCACCAGATTTATCCAAAACCAGTGATTTGTCCTATTTTTATTAAAAAAAAAAAAATGTCCCAAGTGTCCCTATTTTTGATCAATCAACAGTAAAGAGACATAAACTGTCATTTGTTTAGGTAAAATGCAGAAAATCTGCGTAAAAATGACATAAAAATGTGACTGTACTGTTCACGTTTCTTAATTATGCACTCGTTTCACAATTTTATTATTACAACTTACCAAAAACATGTCCCAGTTTTTTATTTTGAAATTCTGGTCACCCTGGTCCTAAGGTCCCACTGAAGTCCTGGTTTAGTCTGGGTTTAGAACTGGTTTGTTAAGTCCACATGTCCCTGTTTACCCGGGACAGTCCCAGTTTGAGCCTGTGTCCCATGTCCCAGTGGATTTATCAAAAAACAGTGATTTGTCCGAATTTTATACAAGAAATGTCCCTGATGTCTCTATTTTTGATCAATCAACAGTAAAAGAGACATAAACTGTCATTTGTTTTGGTAAAATACAGAAAATCTGCTTAAAATCGACCAAAACAAAGAAAATGTGACTGTACTGTTCACACGTTTCTTAATTACTCACTCGTTTCACAGTTTTATTTTTACCAACCACCAAAAAAATGGGGATGTCCCAGTTTTTTATTTTGAAATTCTGGTCACTGTAGTCCTAAAGTCCTGCTCAAGTCCTGGTTTAGTCCAAGTTTAGCCTGGGTTTAGAACCGGTTCTTTATTTACCCGGGACAGTCCCAGTTTTGAGCCTGTGTCCCTGGTCCCTGCAGATTTATCCAAAACCACTGATTTGTCCCAGTTTGATCCCTGCCAACAGTAAAAAGAGACATAAACTAATTTGTTTAGCTAAAATACTAAAAATCTGCTTAAAAACGACCAAAACACAAAGAAAATGTGACTATACTGACTCAGATTAGACCCAAGTGCAGAACAATTCTCCTTAATTAGTCACTCGTTTCACAGTTTTATTTTTACCAACCACCACAAACCAGGGATGTCCCAGTTTTTTATTTTTTTATTTTGAAAATCTGGTCTTTCTACTTTAGCTCTGGTGTGTGAGTTTTGATTCAAAGAACCTGTTTTACTCTGTTTTCTGATCTGTGTCATGAACAACAGGTAAAAGGAACTGAAAACTACCACTGCATGACATCACAAAGTGGAACAGACCGAGAAATAAAAAAGGATTCGTGAAACGTGTCAATGAAACAAAACACGACTCCAGGTTTGTTTTTGAGGCGGGAACAACATTTAAACAGACTTAAAGTTCACGAGTCAGTTTTATGTAAGAAGGAACCTTAAAGTGAGTTCAGGTTTGTTCAGAGGTGCTCCTCACAACGAGAGGGTCCTGAGGGTCTGGTGCTCCTCACAGTCAGAGAGTTCTGAGAGTCTAGTGCTCCTCACAACGAGAGGGTCCTGAGGGTCTGATGCTCCTCACAGTCAGAGAGTTCTGAGAGTCTAGTGCTCCTCACAACGAGAGGGTCCTGAGGGTCTGGTGCTAGTCACAGTGAGAGGGTCCTGAGAGTCTGGTGCTCCTCACAGTGAGAGGGTCTTGAGGGTCTGGTGCTCCTCACAGTGAGAGGGTCCTGAGAGTCTGGTGCTCCTCACAATGAGAGGATCAAGAGGGTGTGGTGCTCCTCACAGTGAGAGGGTCCTGAGAGTCTGGTGCTCCTCACAGTCAGAGGGTCCAGAGGGTGTGTTGCTCCTCACAGTCAGAGGGTCTGATGCTCCTCACAGTGAGAGGGTCCTGAGAGTCTGGTGCTCCTCACAGTCAGAGGGTCCGGAGGGTCTGGTGCTCCTCACAATGAGAGGGTCCAGAGGGTGTGGTGCTCCTCACAGTGAGAGGGTCCTGAGAGTCTGGTGCTCCTCATAATGAGAGGGTCCAGAGGGTGTGGTGCTCCTCACAATGAGAGGGTCCAGAGGGTATGGTGCTCCTCACAGTGAGAGGGTCCAGAGGGTGTGGTGCTCCTCACAGTGAGAGGGTCTTGAGGGTCTGATGCTCCTCACAGTGAGAGGGTCCAGAGGGTGTGGTGCTCCTCATAATGAGAGGGTCCTGAGGGTCTGGTGCTCCTCACAGTGAGAGGGTCCTGAGAGTGTGGTGCTTCTCACAGTCAGAGGGTCTTGAGGGTCTGATGCTCCTCACAGTGAGAGGGTCCTGAGAGTCTGGTGCTTCTCATAATGAGAGGGTCCAGAGGGTGTGGTGCTCCTCACAGTTTGAGGGTCTTGCGTGTCTGGTGCTCCTCACAGTTTGAGGGTCTTGCGGCTCTGGTGCTCCTCACAGTTTGAGGGTCTTGCTTGTGCAGGCGTCTCTGGGCTCAGTCTCTGCTCGTGTAAAACTCTCAGTGTGTTTGAGGAAAAGATAAATCCGTCCTGTTTTGTTTTGTTAGACAAACACTCGACACTCACTCTTTAATCCTCCTGTGTCGTCTGAGGCAGAGGAAGCTCCGCCTCCTCTGGTCTGTGTGACACCTGACACCTGCCCACAGACCCACAGACTCACAGACCCACAGACCCACAGACTCACAGACCCACAGACCCACAGACCCACAGACCCACAGACTCACAGACCCACAGACCCACAGACTCACAGACCCACAGACTCACAGACTCACAGACCCACAGACCCACAGACTCACAGACCCACAGACCCACAGACCCACAGACCCACAGACTCCACAGACCACAGACCCACAGACCCACAGACCCACAGACCCACAGACCCACAGACTCACAGACCCACAGACACCCACAGACCACAGACTCACAGACCCACAGACCCACAGACTCACAGACCCACAGACCCACAGACCCACAGACTCACAGACCCACAGACCCCACAGACCCACAGACCCACAGACTCACAGACAGACTCACAGACCCACAGACTCACACAGACTCACAGACCACAGACCCACAGACCCACAGACCACACACCTACAGACCCACAGACCCACAGACTCACAGACCCACAGACCCACACAGACCTCACAGACCCACAGACCCACAGACTCACAGACCCAC